TAACATTAGATTGTTGAAGTATCTTCTTCAGTTGTTTCGCAACTCCTGGCTGTTCTTTAAGCAGCGCTTTAAGTAGTTGAGTGCGAGCTTCAGGTTCTCTTAGAATTTTGAGTCTTTGATCCATGGCCTTAGCTAGTTCCATATTTTTACGATCTAATGCCGTTTCAATCGGCATTACCTCGACTGCAATCTTGTTGGGTGCATGTGTTGTACGAGTCTTGAGCTTTTGTTCAAACTCTTTAGACTCCTCTAGTTTAGCTAAGAATTCGGTTGAGGGTTTCCACTTAGTGGTACCTGCAGGACCGATGCAACAAACAATGGTGTGTTTCCAAGGTGTCTTCTTAATAGAATAGGATCCCTGATACAAGAACGTGTCGGTTTCACGGTCGACATAAATCATGAGTACATTTAGGAAACTTAAGTTCCTCGTACTATTAAGAGTACGTTTATAATTTGCGTACTGCTTAAGAGTACGTTTATACATAGAGTCTAATGAGGAGGCCCGGCTTATTACACATGTAGAATAACAATAATATTTCCGATCCAGGCCAGCCAGCAGATACCGAGTGCATTCGTGATTTGGTGCGGCATATTGGCTCACCCCCAACCTCGCTCATCGAACAAATTATGACGGATAATCTGGTCCTACTCGGTATTTCGTACTCTGCACTAACTCATTCCATGGCACTACACGGTACATACCCGATCCGTACCACAGAGGTGGGTACGCTATCCAGTAGGTTAGCAAGCGAATACATGGCACACTCGATGGGATCAGTTTTTTTTGTCAGCATCGGTCTGAATTAACCCAGAGCATATCCACCGTCGTCGACTCACTTGGCCCATGCTTCAAACGGGAATTTACTGACCACTTCTTCCCATCGATCTTTCCCGAAATGCTGCAACGGCTATGAGAGCCATACCAAATGTACATACATTGTAATTTATCTCTTTTGAAATATATAATATTATCCCTATAAATATACGCTTTCAGTCCCCGAGGCATCCTAGCCGTTCTTTATTCATGAAACACGCTAAATACTACTGATAAGAAGCACGCTCCTTTACTTTTCCCCTCCCCCCCCCCCCACCTTTTCCTTCTTTGCCAAAGGAAATTAATCAAAAGCCCAGACTTGACACTTTCAATTTTTTTGTTGTTGAAATTTACTAAATTTTTATTTTACGGGGACGAGAAAAGGCCATAGCTGTTCAATTAGGCTATGCCATTTAGCCATAGCACTGATAGGTGATAGGTGATAGCAGTGATATCACTGATAGCAGTGATAGCACTGATAGCAGTGATAACACTGATAGCAGTGATAGCACAAGAGAGAGTCCATACTCCATAGCATTAGAAGACCCGATTTGGTTAATAAAAATCGATGTTCCAGATCAATTTGGGGCGCGGTCGCACTGCCCCACGCCCCACGGGCCACGGGCCACGGGCCACGGCGGCCACGGGGCATGGAACTTCGAGTCAGTTTCTACTATAGTTCCACCATTATTTTTTACTTATTTCTTCTCACCAGACGCCTCCCCACGCCCCAAGCCCCAGGCCCCAGGGCGGCCCAGGCCCCAGAGCCCCAGATTTCAGAATCCAGAGTCCCAGAGTGATGGTTAGTGACCCAAAGGGCCAGAGTCCCAGACTCCAAGGGCCAAGCCACCGAGGCTCAAGCAAAAGGTTTTGAAAAAAAAAAATGAAAAAAATAGTAATATCCTTGAAAAAAAATTTGTTCTAAAATATAAAATGGTTTTGTTTTTAATCCCTCTCTACTCTACTAGCTAGACATGACTATCCTACCCATCCGCCTAATCGGGCTTTTTTCACCCATGGCCCCACTCAAGTGTATTTATTCACTTACTGAAGAGTGAAGTGACGGGAGGAGGGGAGTGAGGCTGTGAGGGCCAGGCCTCTCATCGCGATGGACATCAGAAGGTATTTATTTTAATTTGACACGTTTTAAATATATTTGAAACAAAGGGGAAAAAAACGACAACTGTCTACAACTAAATATATTATGCTGTCAATATTTACACTCATCAAAGTCCAACTTTTTAGTGAGTTTAGTGACTATTTCACAAAAACTCAAAACTTCACATTGTACACAATGGTGAATCTATATTTAAAACGAAATATGATTCGTGTAGTGAAGAAACTATGCAATTTGCATAAGATACAATCCAAATACCATGGCGATTCTATGGGCGAATCAGATTATACCGGTGATCACGTTTTGCCAGGGGGGGAGTGTTTCCGACTAGGATTTGTATTGTTGATCCTTCTGATCGCCACAGCAAAATAATAAAAAATATATTTTCGTCAGAGGTTCATCACATCCGTCGAACAAAACACTTGCCCCTGCGGGGCTTCGGGGCCTTGGTCTTTTTGTGGGTAATAAAATATAATAAACATTGAAAAATTGCCTCGAATCTGGATGCAACCCATCGACTATCCTGCACACGAGTGTGTATATATGTGATGGAAATATTGTTATTGATATCATAAATAAAGCATTTATTTATGATCCTGAGACCCTGGTTCAAAAGGACACCTCCAGTATCCAAAAAACTTGTTAACAGGACGCTCGAGGAGTATTTTAAATAAGATCGCTTCAATATGACGTTCTACAAATCTTTGGTATCCATATGGAGGACTTATTACGAATTGGAAACAAATGAACAAGAGAAGACGCGAGAAAGAGGTCTCTGGGTGGGTGGAAAGTACGGCTCCAATGGTGAGAGGAAGTTTTATAATCTTATTCCTGTCAAAAAGGGTCTCAGGTCGACGTCTGCTGAACCGTCAAATAACTTTTCTGCCTTCCTTACGTAACTACATCGATTGGTTCTGGTTATCAGATTGGAGTGCCAATGCTAAAGGCTGCCTCGGCCTTTTGGTGGCGATGTCCGAGGTGATCAGGTGCAAGAATATGCCGGGCTTATCCTCGCCAAGATCACTGACGAGTACGATACAGGCTTACTACCTGATATCAGTAAACCTATTGCCGTGTCAAAGCACAATAATAATTTAGTAAGTCGGATCCCGACACATCAAACCAGGTCTCATAGACGCCGTTTTATTGAGCCAGTCACTACACTTTAGCGCAATCCAACAGTAAAACTCAAACTTTGGACATACGTTGCCTATGTTAACTGTGTTGAAAATAACTTCCGAAACACTTCTGCGATTCCGGTTGAAACAATACTTCCAAGCGCTGGGAGCCACACCGAGATTGGAGTTCAGCACAGCAACATGAAACGCATCTACTCAACACTTGTATTTATCTACTCAACATAATATATACAACATATCCATTAACGAGGCAGAATCCAAGTTAGGATCATGCGAATTGAAGTCGCCAACAAGACTGCGTAGAGCAGGGCGAATCCTAAAAAAACAAACTATTCAGTGGTGATCGCATTAAGAGATTGGCTGTGTTCCACGATCCACCTCCGTTGCGACGTGCGGTGACAACAACGCTTGCTTGCGAGTCAATAAATAAATAGCATCAAATTACAATACCATCGTAGCAATCTGATTTTATCCTTTAACTATTCTTGAAATTGTTTTTAACTTCGCTTATTATTGGGGACGCGCATGTGTGCTACAAAACAGCTTTATTAAACGCCTGCATCAGAAATGGATATATTCCGGCTTTGTGCTTTATAGTGAGCGTCTCCTGCCTCGAATTGAAATTTAATCGAGGAATACAACTCATTTCTGACTTTCAGAAGACATCTGTTAAATGTGGGCGCTTATGGTCAAATATATTTGGCGACTTGCACTATTGTGAGTCTAAGCTCACCACTGGATGGGTTCCACAGCAGACTTGTGCTGTTGTACACCTGAGCACACAAGAACGGTTCAACATGACAGGCCGGTACGCAAAACTGTAGCCTGAAGTTTCCTTGCGATTAAGCAGCTCATTAAATGCACGAAATGCAACGAGTTCTGGTATGGGAGGTTTGTTAGCACCACCTACACTTGTGCGATTGTACTTGACATGGCTTGCGGGAAAGCTAGTTCTTATCAGCAGTAACTATTAAAGGCTGCTACAACTATCCGCCCGTGAATTTGAAGTGGTATTTGCCAAGAATATTGTCTGTAGGTGTACGTGTCGGTGTAGTTATAGGTGTACGCGTACACTAACACAAACGCACACAAATTTACATAAACGTATACATGTAGATATAAACATAGATAGATAGATAGATAGATAGATAGACACATACGTTTATACATGTAGATATAAGCATAGATAGATAGACACACACACACACACACACACACACACACACACATATATATATATATATACATATACATATACATATACATATACATATACATACACACACACACACACACATATACATATATATATGTAAGTGTACATACATACGTACACACA